TGCATGGATGAATGCGAAGCAGGTAAGTCGTTGCTTGTTGCTTTCCTATTTGCAAAAATGAAGAAGACAACAACATGGATCGTACCCTTTTCACGCGTTCAAATCATTTCTGAAATATTCTCAATTATATGTAAAATGATATATCGTTCGACTTGCTACCTTTTTGTTTGCACCCAATATTTTTATTCAAGAGAAAGAATGAAAACGAAAAAAAAAAGTAAACTAAAAAATGATGATGTTTTTGATGTATTTGCTGCATTGGGTGCGATTCTTTGGCATTAATCTTAATAAATGAAATCCCAATCCATTCAATTTCAATATTTTCCATTTTAATTGTAGCAAAAAATAAAGCTTTACGGAAATTGCGCTACTTGATGCAAAAATACAGCGGTGAAGATTAGAATAATAAATAAATACATTAGAAATTTATAGTAGTTGTTAAAATATAAAAAAGAATAATTTCAAAAATTATCCGTCCCTGGCAGATAGGCCCACGGCGCTCATATAAATAGAGACAGAACGTATATATATAAAAAAGGGTATGTTCCACAAATATTTTTATAATTGAAATTGTTTCAAAAATTAATGGAAGCTACTCTGGGTTTTTTTTTTTTGTTTTTCCTTATTTTTCCAGTTTCCGGAGATGATCGGTTTGATCCTTGTAAAGTGACAGACAGCTCTCGAATAGACGCATGCTACGTAGACCCGACTAAACCAGATCCGGGTCCTGATGCTTATGACGAATTCGAAGCTTGTCTAAATGGTAGTGGTTTGACAATACGCGTACTCAAGGATACGCATCATGTGCAGAATATATGCGATGGCACGGAAAATTTCGACAATGCTGAAAGCGCAAGCGATTGCGAATGTGCGCAAGTAAGTAACACAAATTTATTATTTATCCGGGTAATTAATTTCATTTACTTATTTATTAATTCTTTTTGCTTTTTCCATTTTTTTTTTTTTTTTTTTTGCCGGCATTCTTTAGACTAACAGTCAAAACTCTCAGTGCAATTTGAATGAACTTTTGCAGTGCAGCGATTTTGCACGCAATCAAGTTAAACGCCGTACGGGCGGCCACATTATCAATCATCCAAAGTTACCAAAAATTCGTGCCAATATTAAGTACTCGGGCAATGATTATTGCTGTCCGGATAGTTATCATGTACCATTTTCGAGATTAAAGCAATTTTGCGATACTCAAGAGAATAAGGTTGACGCGTATCGTCGTCGTAAGCCATGTGATCGCGGAGTTCGAGCACCGTTACATTCTGACGACAATCGGAGCTGTTGCGTTCAAGTCAATCGCGACGATATAAAGAATGCGTTACAGGGTGTTAATGTTGATGCAAGAAAGAAAGGCATTGAGGTAAGTAAATTTGAAAAAAAGATTTTTTCTTTTTTTTTTTTGCTCTGCTGGCGATTTCATCATAACAAGGTAATGATAATCTAGATAAAGGTAATTATTTTTTTTTTAATTCAGATTTGTTAGGAGCGCTTAGTTTAACAAAGACAATTAATTACAAGAGAGAAATTTTATTTATTTATTTCGATCTAATACTGAAAGTCCGGAGAATGGGCTTCAATGTTTCTTATATGATAGATAGCCCAATAAAGCATATAAATGTTCCCACTTTCTGTCTATCCTTCCTATCTTTGGTACCTTCACTATTGCAAAAATTGAAAATTGACAGAAAACTGAAACGGAGAGCTCAGAGCATGTACTTCATACCAATATAAATATATATATATATATATATATATATGTATACATCTTTTTTTTTTCAAAGCCTCTTTTTTCTAAAAATGTTCTGAACTGGCCAATGGGACGCAATGATAATTAATAACATATTTTGCAATTTTTATTCATTAGCTCGAGAGTGAGTTTACATTCATATTTCTATTAGCTTCTGTTAAGAAGATAATATATATAATCTCACTTTCCTACTACGTTGTGCATTATATAACTCTAGATTGTATTGACGTAGTGGAATTTTAAAATCAAAATTCATATATATATACAATCGTGTTCAGTTTGTTAAGGCTTCTTTATCTATTTTATAATTATAAGACATTTCAAGTGAAGTATTATCATCAATCTTTCAAAAATATTTATTTATTTATTTATTTTTTTTTTTTTTTTTTTTTTTTTTTTTTTTAGCACAATCATGACATACATTAGTAGTTGAAAGGCATTTTAATAACCATAATATAATTGAGAGTTTGTTTTGTTTAAATAAATGTAACATAACATCTGGATGATCGTTACACATATATGCTTGCACAGAATGCAACAGGTGATCTATTGATTTTTTTTGTTTTTTTTTTTTTTTCCTTTTTTTTTTGGGCAATTTTACGTATTTGCATGAAATGCAGTAAAATTCAAACACGATTTTTTTATAAAAAAAAATAAAAAAAAAAAAAAAAAAAAAAAATTGCTTTAAAAAAATGAAAAAATAAAGAGATGTAATAAATTTATGGCCAGTCAAAGTTAGTAATAGTTAAAAGCAATTACCAACTGTATGCACGAACGCTTGCATGAAAATATTGAACAGAAATGGCCTAGTTTTCATTTTTTTTTTTTTTTTTTTTTTTTTTCATTACAATTATCAATGGTTTGGTGGTGTAAGGTGTTTATATAGAAGGGAGAGGTATACTAATTTTGTCTTTCAATTTGTAGCTTCTCTACAAAGTATGCGATAAAAATTTCAAAAATTATAAGCTAAAGCTGTTGGAATAGTAGACCAGAGATCCAAGTGCAATGTGAACTTGGGTGTTAGCTTTTCCAACGAGTTTTACTTGCGAAAAAAATCTGGAACTCTTATAAAGCAGTTGATGGCGGCGTTAACGGAAGTAAACGGAAGTCAATATTGGCGAGGGAAACAATAATAAAATTGAAATATGGATAAATTATCATTTAAATTTTGCGAAGAAGGCAGTTAAATATTACAGGCGGCCTAGAGATGTTACAGTGCTGGCCTTTGGCGGAGAAAGGACAACTAGGTTTCCGTTCTGTTCTTTTCTTCAAGACTGACTTGAAGATGATCCTTTCTCCGAAAATGAAATGATATCTTACTTGAGGAGAAGAAAGGCGATAATGCATAGATCGGGAGTTGGCGGGATTGTTAATTTTATCCAGCCGCTATCATTTGCAGAATATTCGCTTCCAGTAATAATAAGTAAGAAATGGTCCAGTTATATCCAATCGATTCGACAATAAGGCCAGTTTTCTGCGTAGGGATTTTGACTGTCATATTTACTAAAATCTAAAGACTGAAGTCTCTTTCACCTGAAAAAAGTTATTCGAAAAATATTTAGTTAATATCAGTTAACTATGTCGTCCTCTTTAGCGACCTACTCGCGTGAAATTAGGTTGTAATAAAATGACTACAGGTTCATAATGATAAAATATGACAAGGAAATCGGACAAGCGTGGCTGGACGGATCAGGATGTATAAGTTCGTTATACACGGTTAACCAGTTCAAATTGAGGCATTGCGCAGAAGCTGTCATGGTAATCCATAACATTTAATAAAACGTCTGTATATACGTTCGTATGCTTTTGCTTTCATCGACAAATATTGGAGGAGCAGCCGTGTCGTCCTCTTATCGTTTATTTTTCAATGCTTGAGAAATGCACAAGTGCAAGTGCAAGTGCAAGTGCAAGTATGTAACTAAATCTTGGATCATCTGTCATCTGTTATATTTTTTTCAATCGTACTGTGTCATCGAAATGATTAGTAGTATCGTTTTCACATTGAAATTCGGCACTTACCATCGATTATATGCATTAGATATGTTTGAAAAGCCTCTCGATTATGGATTAAGAGAGAAAACTGTTTTTATTTTTTGTTTGTTTTTCACGTTTTAATGCTTAATTCTGTATGGGTACGGGTTTACATCTACTTTCATATTGATGTGTGCACGTTGATTCGATTCATGATATAAGATGCAAATGTTGCTTCAACATATCATATTTGTTATAATTTGTTATAATATTGGAGAGGTTTTCCTGCAAATAGGTTATATGACCCCAAGTCAAAAGTCAGTCATCCAGGTTTATGTTGATCTGTTACGTATGTACGCTCTTTGTAAGTAGTCGTGTCGTCTCTTGTCCTGGTTATAGTTTAAGCAAACTGAATAAGAAAAAAAGTTCAAAAAAAAAAAAAAAATTGATTAAGGAGACGAGATAAAAAAGGGAGATCATTAAATAACTTACCATCAACACTTAGCCTAACACAATTCTTCGCTTATATATATCATTTGTATTATTATAAATATATTTTTGCGTAAATCATGTAAAGGCGGCCTACTACTCCTACTACTACTACTAATCGTAAAGCGGGAACAATAGAAGCACATGATTGCAATTTAGTCCGCTAAATTGATCTAATAACTGAACATATTGGATGAATTTTCATCTTAATACTAAAAACTAGATTTTCTCGTTTTGCAAAGAGCTATGCTTTGCAAGGAAGGACCGACCTCTATGTGAATGAAGCGTTAAAAAAATAGTCTCTAATCTCAACCAAATTCCTCTGATTCGTTTCGTATGCCAAAATGAGAAATTGAAAATATTTTTCACATATTTTTCGCTTTCTAAATTGGCTATCTTATGTGGAGCAGTCTCATCGCCATATTGGAAATGGTCTGAGTTAATTCATACTCAATAAGGTTCGTCTTTCGAGAAAAATGCAAAAATATATCGAGCCGGACAGACATGCTTTATTCGATTCAGATCCAACGTGTATGGTATGGTATGCATCCACACAAGTCGTGTAGGAGGTATTAGTTCATATAACGTATGATCTTTTGATTTGTTGATTATAAATATTTTATGTCTTGCTATCAAATATTTTGTATCTATGCAATTACGAATATTTATCGAAAATGTTCGGTTGCATGTGTCAGTAATTAATTAATTTCTCTGCAATTTGCAAATAGAAATTAGAAGGGAAAATATAAGAGAATTATATTCGGTCATGGCCGAATTTTTTTGAACCCATCACCGACTAAAAACAAAGGAAAAGAATTAAACTTTCAAACTCTATAATATATTGGGTAGGCGGGGCTGAGTTTTTTCTATTTTCAAGTGAAAGTTTATATCACGTACATACTTTCAGTATTAAGCAAAAAGAAAAAAAAACCCATATCGACGTGGAGGCGATGTAGTTGTGTCCTTTGACAGGTGTGGGTGATTTTTAACTTTATTACATAGACGTGTGAGCGTTGTAGGCGTGTCCTTTGAAAAGTTTAGGTCAGTTGCAAATTTTTTTTTTTTTGCAAGTTCTGCGAACGAGCGATTGTTACACACTTGGACAGGCGGACAGACGGACAAAAGAGCAGATTCGACCTGCCCCGGTGCATTTCGTATTTGAAATTGACCAAGTATTTATATATTATAGAGATGGCGGTTTTTGGTATTGAAAGGTATTATGTTTAATTCGAATTAGAATCGAATGCTGATCGAGAATATATATCCTTTGCAGGATCCGTGAAGTTTGATTTTAGACGTTGCAAACGTTTTGACAAAATGAATATACCCTTCATCCTTAATGGGTGATGGGTATAAAAACCTAAAGCATAGAAAAATTTTCTTTTTGAAAGCTTAATTAAATTGCGTTCTTTTTTTTTTTTCTCATTATATCGTCTAATGTATAGGTTTGCTATAGAACGTGCGAGGAAACGGACAGTGATGTGTTTTTAGTGAAATTGGGCAGCAAACACAAAAGCCAAAAGAAGAAGAATAACATCGAGATTGAATTGAAGACGCCGAAGCAACCATTGGTATTGCCTAAGCAAAAGGTAACAACTCAGACGCAGATAAACGAGGCCGAATTGGATGCCGCTCTTACCGGTGTCTGCAAAGGCAAAGGCAAAGGCAAAGGAAAGGGCAAAGGCAAGGGTAAGGGTAAGGGCAAAAAGAAATAATCGAACAAAGTTCCTACAACAGCCCATAAGCAGCGACGGCGCTCTCTCTACCTCAATATAAAAAGAAAAATTGATTGGAATTTTGTGATCTCTTGTGGTGCAGTCACTTTAGAACGATGTTCAGACAACACTATATATGGAATAATTGAAATCTACTTATATGATGTAAAATTTTGTGCGCTCAATTTTTGTTTTTTTTCATAATAGTATATATACATATACATATATCTCGATATTTTATGGATATTTCACAACAACGGATACACGGCGTCTGTTGTACGCTCACAACGTACGTACACAATACACATATTTCCCTAATTCCTAGCCATTTATCAATTACAAAAAATATCAAAAAAAAAAAAAAAAAAAAACTAGAAACGAAAAACACTCGTCCCCCTCCTCTATTAATCTATAGTGAATTTTAGTTATGTAGTACAACACATTTATAAAATGGAACAAAGAAAAATTCATTAAAAAAAAAACCTCGTTTTGGGACGGATAAATGCGAGTGTGTTTTCATGTTTCCTTAAACGGTTGATGGCCTACTATGAGAAAAAAGCAAAAATGTGCCAGTCTATATCAGCATATATCAGTATATATGGCCTTTAATGCATATAATCTATGTCTCCATATACAGAAGAAGTGCACAAAAATGTCGATATGAATGATATAAGCGGCTGATATATATAAATTACTTTTTGTCGTTGATGCAGGTTGTTAGCTAATCAGGCATTTTTTGTTGTTGTATTTGTCGGTGTTGTCATTTAAGTCTACCGAAGACTGTATCTAAGAAAGAAGTAGATATGTTAACTTTATCACACCTCTGTGAAGTTACGGGAATGCGCATTGGAAATTTTAGCAGAATACCTGCGTCGCATTTGTTTCAAAAAGAAGATCCTATTATTTCTTTACCTAAAATCCCGTTTGATTTGCCGATATATGTTAAGATAAACATAACTCTCGTTCCGTTCATACGTAACGGGTTTCATCCCTAAAGACGATTAACTTGCAAGAATTTCTTTGTGAATTTCTTTCTCATTGTGATTTCAATATAATCGATATCTTAAGTATTCTAAATACAACACAAAAGATGTTCTGAAGAATACGTTAGGAAGGTAGAAATTATGTTCGCATGTACTCTGTAATCACGGGATTTTGCTTTCACCAAACACGATAAGGCGTCTGACAATTGTTTGTTGTACCGCATATTTTTTACACAATTCTTTATAATCATGTCACGCTTTGGAAGAAATTTGAACGAAGCAATAGTGCTAAGACGATAGGTGAACAAATATGCACTGCATGTAGCGAAAGCCTGGCAAGCAATAACTTAGTTAGGAATTGTTTTCTGCAATTGCAGATCAATTTGATTCGGGCGTTGACGACAACCTTTCAAGGCAATATTAGAGCAAAATCCAAGAGCAATACAGAAAAAAACTTGAATATATCATAATCAACACAGTTGGCCGTCATCTGAAGAAATTCGGGGAAGTCAGCAAAGCAAGTTGAAGTGGAAATTTATATGGTGTACGTGTCGCAGTTTACGAGTTTACGAGTACCAAGCAAAAAGCACGAAAAGCAAACGATTTCACAGTTTTTGTTAGATGTGGGCATTTGGGCGTGTTGTAGGTGTGTTCTTTTTTCCCAAAATCTTTATAATGCGCAGAAGCAAACTAGAAAAACCCCATAAAGTATATAATGAATTCTTGGTCAGTTTGAAATTCAGAATGCACGCAAGCATGTCCCTCTGTCCGTCTACGCATTTATGAGGTATTTGTGTTAAACATTGTCCCTTTCGCAAAAGGGCATATATCGCTTACGAATTTGCAAAAGAAATTGAAAATGACGCACATCGGTCGAAGTGTATGCCTATAACGCCCACACGCTTACGCAACAAAAACTATGAACACCTTTTCTTTTCATGTTTTTTACTTGTTACTCCTAAAGTACATCATATAAATTCCCGCCCACCCAATATTATAGACTATGAAAATTTAATTCTTTTCCTTTGTTTTTAGGATAACGGCGACGATGGACATAGTCTAGAAGATTCGGTCACGACGAATATATGCTTCTTACTTGTTCACTTTTGACAATTTCTGCTATTGCTTTAACATATATTCTTCGAACGATTTCTGATATTCGCGATTCGTCTCAAGGTGAATTTGCTTACTTGTCAACTATTTGATTACTTTACACTTTCGCATTTGCAAGAAAATTCAAGCAAAGCAAAAAAAGAGTGGTATTTAAGAATCATTAAAGTTTACTTATTCAAGTTTATATCTTACACACTATAAATAATTAGTTTTTTTTTTTTTTAATCTATAAACTATTAAGAAAATGTATAAAAATGTCAAGTTTTATAAATTATGGGAGATGAACAAGTACGAAAATTATATTCTAGACCCGTAGACCCGTTAGTTTTATTCTAACAAAAACTAAGCAAAGAATGAAAAAACTAAATTTCTATAGTAGGGATCGGCAACGTATGAGCAGCGTGTCACCGAGTGACCCATGTGACAAATTCAAGTGACCCGCTTTAGCTCCGTAAAAAGGGTATAATATATATAATATATATATATATATATATATATATATATATATATATATAAATAAATTACAAAATATAAAAATCGATATTTCAGATGCATGTATTCGACTTGAAACGATTATATATAATCGAGACTTCACTAAACTGACGTCACAAGTTTAACATCATTATTATTATTATCTACTAAAAGACTGCTTTAATATGACAATATCTTTGAGCTCTTCTCTCTCACCGCTTTAATACACTCCGCGGCAATAAAAGCTTGCCGACCCCTGCTCTGCTCTCTGCAATTGAGTGAGTGTGGCTGAGTTCTTCCATTTTCTTAGAATATACACGGAAACTCTTAGCATACGTATGGGTAACGAGCGAAACAAGGACAAGAAAGCAGTTCTGCTTTCAAGTTTATGGTGCAGCCTAGGCGTTCCCTTTGACCGATACAAAGATCAGTTTTCGATACCAACTTTCGTGTAAGAATTTGCAATGTGTTTATCAAATTTGAAGGCGATATCTTCATTTTAGCGCTCAGGCGAAGAATTTACGAAGGGGGACATACGGACAGACGGGCATCGGTTTGGAATGTGTTGCTGATCAAGAACATCTACACTTGCTTCATCGAGAACTCTCCGTGGCTTTCACTTGCGTATTGCCGACTTTTTTCATAAAATCAAAATGCCTCCCAGTTTGGTGCTGGGTATAACAGAAAAAAAAAAAAAATTTTTTTTTGACGTTAAAATGTAAGCATTTACTTATAAATTACCTAAACATATATTAAAAAATTCAAAACCAGTTGACTATATGTTAATATTTTCAATATATAATTGAATATCATTGCTGATCACCGCATTAATAAATTTTATTGTTTTATTGCATCAAATATTATTTATATTTAAATTTAGTTAAAGTATATTTGCATTTTGATACCTTATCGCAAAAAAAATTTATTATAAAATAACAAAAAAAAAAAAGAAGAAAATCATTGAACCAATAACGGAAGACTTTTTTATGTTTTCAAATGTAATCGAGGGTTCAATGTCATTTGTTAACGCCATACTATAATATTGAACTTATTGTCATCGTATTATATGTATGGCCAAATCGTCTCATACGTATCGTATACGAGGTGGCAGCACTTTACGAGTAAACCTTTAATATTATTTAAAATGTTTACAATGACTTTTCAAAATAAGGCGTGTTATGGGGAGAGGTCGAAAATATGAATCGATCCGAACCATTTTCAATATCGTTCGCCCGAGAGTCAAGCATGTGAGTGTACCAAGTTTTATTAAAATGCAAATTGTTGGTTGCACACAAAAATATATGAATGGAAGTCGGGCGGACAGACGGGCGGGAAAGGTTCGATCGATTCAAAAAATGATTCTAAGCCGATCGGCATATTAAAAAAAAATGGGTGGGTTTAACATAAGCCCTCCTGGGTGTTACATATGTCCGCTACTAACTTAACATCTCCTATACCACATCCGGTGTAGGGTATAGAATTGTAATTTAATTGCTTAATTTAGCCCTGAATAATAAAAAAATAAATACCAAAAAATTGAAATCTTTAATTTGGAGAAATTACGTCACGTCTGTCACGTGTGGAAAAATATGCTAAACTTTGTGGATAACGATATTTTAGAAATATTTAGCAAATTTTGATAAACACTCGTATCTATATACTGGGTACACTTTCTAACTTATTGTAAACTATTTGATGGGCTTTCCTTTCGCTAGGTTTTAGACTTTGGTTTTAATGATAAATTTAAAAATAATAAAAAATTAATTTCATGCCAATGGTAGTAAGTGGCATCCAAGTGGCATACATATATTATTTGCGAGATGCGTACAGTGTGCTTAGCTCAACATTTTCGAATCGAGAGTATATAACTCGTAATCGTGATGACTATTCAGTTATAATCGGATAACGGATGACGCAATCAAAAGTTTTAAGAAGAAACATGTCTTAGGATGTTGACGAGCCAAGTGTCATTGTTCAACGCTGGACGAAGCGTTCGTTCATTCTGCTTGTCGAATAGAAATTATATTTTTGCGATTACCGTAAAACGCGCCTAATAACGAAACGACACATGACTTTGGCTTGATTGTAGAAAATAATTAATTTGCAAGAATTGTTATGAATGTACGCCATGCTTACGGTTAGCAAATGTTCACGACAAGGAATTTATGATATAATGGAAGGACGGAATATTCATTAAATCAGTTTAAAAAAGTACGTTTTACTTCTAAATATGGCTTTTCCCCCCCCAAAAAAAAGGGCACATTCTATTCCATCGTCAAGTATTGACGGCCGTCCAAGTCGAGAAGATACACCTTTCGAATTGTTGCGTTGTAAATGCCATTAGCCCTTCTAGACGAAAAAGGCTACTTACTGAAACATTTAACGATTTATTAAATAATTTCAACTTACACTTTGGTAATTCGAAGCTAGACGGTCAGTCGGGAGGCAGCAATGACAGATAGAAAGGCAAAGAAAGAAAACCTTTGATTTTGTCTTAATGTAATTTTGTAGGCTGACGATCTCGACTGACAACACCAATGGTCGCGCTTTCAAATCTCAAGTGCGATAGAGTTCTCAATAAAGCCTATAGACTTAGATGCTAGTACTTTACGAAGAAGGAGAACGTTTCATTAAAATAGATATATAGGTTCGCCTTTAGAAGCACTATTCATTGAACTATATTTGGAATTAGTTGACTTTTTTGCCAACTACTCTATCCTCTTAAAAGAGAATCCATACATCAATATGTCAATCATAAAAATATTCATCCAGGGCAGTTCGGTAGCTTCAAATAGGTTTCTTATGAGCCTAATTGGATTAAAAACACCAATTGCGCTTACTAATGAAGCTAATGAGCCGAGAAAGTCCCAACTCCCTCCCCCTCCGATCTACTTTTCCTCATTTTTTGTTTTTTTTCGGCTTAAACTATTGGATGGTTAGTCGGTCAGTGTCGACGCGATCTCACAGGCAAACGGGTTTAACTTAATAATTGATCACGAAATTACCCTCAATGCCGGACGACAGCTTAGAAATGCAATACAATTGTGCATATTAACTGAGTTCAATCACTCCTAACACATATGCATTTTATTGGCAGACGAATAACACGAATTTTGAATTTTTTTTCATGATCATATCGCCTGCAGTCATAAATAAATTAAAAGGTGGACTTTGTTAAATTGAAAAGTCAAAAACATACATACATATATAGCATAGCTGGAAAAGAAGCAAGTCAGAAATAACCTTCAATTAGAATGCATTCACCTTTAGTTGCTGTCCCTTAGATGATGCATAGAATTTGTTTTCGTGTGTGTGTGTGTGTGTGTGTGTGTTATCCATTTTGCTAATTTCATTCCTTAATAAATGAAGAAAAATAAAAAAATTATTATGAGTAGCGAAGAGATGAGAGGTAGGAGATTGATCGGTAAGTTACTGTTTTTTGTTAAATTATTCATAATAGAAAAGACCAGTCAGTCAGTCAATGTTTAAATGCATTTGTAAAATTTGAGTTGAATGAAAACGTATTCATAATAAAAAGTTTCACAAATGTTTTACTTATAGATCTGTTAATGGATCAGCTAATGATCAAATGAGCGAATAATATTGTAAAGAGAAATAAAGAGGCATAATGTCTGAATCTAGAAATATTGAAATGGTTCGCGTGTATCGTACTGGCCAGCGAGAAGAGTAAAACTGGTCTCAGTAAGAAATGTACAATTTAGTCGGCAACTTAATGCGGTAGATGACGAGCGCGTAACGTTATTCAAACAGCTATATATATATATATTGAAACGGTTAAGCATAGTTTGAAAGCGTAACTGATGTGATGCGTTCAAAGGCTTACCACGGTCTGAAAGCTGCTTTCGATTACAGTTAAAGAGATCGTGTATAAACTCGGGTTTAAAACATCAAATACTTGAAAAATATTTACATATATATATCAATTTAAAGAGAGAACTATATGTATAAAGAGTGAGAAAGAGAGAAAGAAAGAGAGAAAGAGAGAGAGAGAGAGAGAGAGAGAGAGAGAACGAGTATCTCTAAGTAGAGAGTAAGAATTGCAAGTAAAGTTTAAAGTTTATCATTTCTTTCTTTTTCATTAATTTCACATTTGCCTATCAAGCGTTTTAATGTTTACCTAGGATTGAAAAACGTTTATTAAAGTGTTAAAGTTACTTATCAGTGCTCGCTTTCAACTGGCGATAAGATGTATATTTATTAAATTGCACTAACTAAGGCCAAGGCCGTTTGTAAGCATACCTATACATCCTATAAGGGGAATAAAATTGAAAAACGTAAGCATAGTTCATTCGACTTGAAATGAAAATCAATCAAAACAAGTCCATCATAAGTCTATTATTATGAAAATTGAAAGTGAATTTTGAAAGAACTCTTTCTAATGAGAAGTCCGCGTAACTAAGAAGAAAGAGAGAGAGAGAGAGAGAGAGAGAGGGAGAGAGAAATAATTAGATGAAAGTTTAGCTTTAATTAAAAATAGTTATAACAAAAATCAATAAATAAAAAAAAAATATACATGTATATGTATATATATACATGTATATATATATATATATATATATATATATAGATTAAAAGTAAACAAGAATTTCCATTGCCTGCATAATTACCTGAATTGTAATCTTGTTGAATGCAAAGTCGTGACCGTGAATCTGTACATACGTACAACTAGTTCAGTTACTTGTCACAAATTTGAACGCATCTCAAATACAACCCTGAAGTGAGATGATACCGTACGCATTGTTAATAATATTAATGAATTTTACATTGGCCAGTGTCGTCGCGTCTGGTACCAGTAATAATAGCCTTAGCACAAATAGCAGCAGTTATGCTAGAAACCAGAACATTAACCGCTTCGCAACTAGTCTTAATAACAACATAACCTCAATATTTAAGACCCCCCAGAATTTGGCATCGGCCTTACGCGACAAAAGAGGTAAGTTATTCAATTATTAACAAATTGGAAGATTAGTTTTTTTTTTTTTTATTTTTTTTTTTTATGTATTATGCATGCGATTGATTGCATTTGTTAACTTGAGCTGTCATGTCTTATTAAAAATTGCATTTAGTTGAAGCGAATTTATAAAAGAATAGCGTAATAAACATTGATAGGTACGTATGTAAGCATTTCAAGTATTTTTTGATTACATTAAACAAATTAAATTAATTAACAAAAATTTTATCATTTAAGTAAGTGACGTATACTAATTATTCTTATCCTTAATTAATATTAATAAGTATTGCTGCATAAATCTGTTGGATCGAAGTGAATTTTATGTAGGAGATGGCTTAAATTGATCAGATATGGATTGATGAAGAATGTGCGCGTGTTAGAATTAAAAGTGATTTAAGTTTTTTTTTAAATAAACATTGAAAAGTCAAATAATAGTGAACGACTGTGCATTTCCAATATCGCGCTATATCGAGTTTAAAAATATTTATACTGCACGCAAATTGTCGTACAAGATATGCTGCCATATGTTCTTGCTGCTCGGATATATGTAACAAACAAAACAATTTAAGCTAAACGCATACGTTACGGCTGATCTGTCTGTCTATGTGTCTAATTTTTCAAAATTTTTTAATGAAATTCGATACACTGAGGTGTTTTAGTTCAAAAACGAACCATATTGCGAGCAGATTGTTTGTGACAACTTCTTCGACCGCTAATGATCGTTTGCAATCTTCAAAATTTTTCAGAAAAATCGCTGAGTAATAGTATTATGGCATTCGAAATTGTTTCGGAAAATTTGAATCGGCTTGCATCTCGTCTCATATAACCGTTCCGGCAAGGACTGAATTTTCAATTTGATATATAGGTCTATTCTTTAATATTTTATATCCATAATAGTAATTTAACGTAGAAATTAATCTTATCGAATTCGTATCACATATGGCATACAATTACTTATGTGATACAATTAGCTTGCAATAGCGTTCATCTTTGTATCAAAACATGGCAGTGTATCAAATTTTATTAAAATATCTCAAAAGCTTCAACTTATAAGTTAGTTACCAGAATATATATGGACAGAAAGACAGACGTCGATTATTGTCGGATATGGTCGACCATTAGATACCTTACACCACATGGCTTAGCACAGTTATTCAGTCGCTACACCATGTTCACGCATACTTTTCATGAAAGTTTGTACCTTGGAAGAAGGTACAAAAGCTCACAAATCGTAACCAAAATTTAGCAAACTTAATTTATTTCCTAAAAATTTTATTATAGATCAGTTTCGGTCATCATCCTATATATATTAGGATTTAAAAAATTGACCTATGTGGTCCACAGTTTTTCGCTACATTGCTACAGTGGATCAATTTTGATCAGAAAATATTAAACTTTAAATCTTTTCCAAAAGGGGTTACTATTCATCAAAATTCTTATGTAAAATGGGGTCCAAGAGATGGATCCATTAAAAATTTTCATCAGAAAATATATTTCAATATATATATATATAATTAGGTGTTTTTGACCTGTAAGGATTTATATTTACTGCGAAGCCTTAAATGCGATGCTATCCAGAGAAAAGACTACGTGGTCCAAATCAGTTAAGGTCGATTTCTTTGTCAATTTACTGTTACAAAATTAATTTTCACCATGAAATTTTGAGAGGGTTTAAAAAATCGCCTCCGCCGAACCAAGTCTTTCGTACCAACTTAGAATCAGAGTCGAAATACCATTACTCGTTACTACTCAATTTCGTTCGATGTAATTGTTCAAAATAAGGCGCTCAAAGCATTTCAGTGAACTAAACTTGATCAAAATATCTCAATTGTTGCGATTCGTAGGCTTAACAAAAACCACATGAATAGACATCGAACGGACGGACTATAAAAGATGGGTCTATGTTAAACTCTTTTGGATATCATCGATCTCCTCACAAATTTACTATATCCTTTCTCAGAACAGTGGTGGTGAGGATATAAAAATTTGCATCTATCCCACGTCGTTCAAGTTTGATGCATACATCCGCGAAAACCTTATAAACTCGCATTACAAGGGAGACTTTTGAAAGCGCAAGATCTATAATTATTTGTTATATCTGTAAGAAAACTACTTTTACCGTTTCTTCAAAGATATGCTGAAAACGAATTCATTTCTTCTCATTGACATAATGCATTCATTTTTAAGCTTACAATCGCAAGAAATTAAAAGCGAAAGCCAGGCGTCACATTAACATTTTTATTCATTCAGTTTGATTTATATACAAATTAATATTATATACGGGTTTTAAAATAAAAGAGTTCAATGGCTTGCAGCACGTGTTATACTATAATTAAATTCCCTTTGTTTCTTTCTAAATCACTTCGCACCAACACTGGTGCGATTATTTTATTAAATACTTTCTTAAAATTCCGCAAAGATGTTGGAAGTTCTTGCGGTTAGTATTGAAAATAGTTGGACAAATCGCTCAAAGGTCTACCTACACTAAAACGTACACTGAGAAGACCGTTCTTCAGGTTTAGTTTATAAATGAGCCTACTGTACTTGGGCAAAAGAGGGCATACGGAGTGTTGAAATTTTTTTTTTTTTTTTTTTTTGAGTTTTTAATAAGGAAAAAGACAGTGGGTACAATAGATTCGGTCACGACCACCTATAATTTGTTTAGTCGCTTAGTTTGACGATTCGAACAAGCGGAACAATGAAAAACGCTGTAAGCAAAAATATTTATAATTAAGAGACAGATTTCTTAAAAAATTATATACAGCGTGTGTGAGTGTACATATATAACTTATTAAGACATTAGACTACACAGACCAAAATATGCCTGAGTCAATTTAGCGAGAGCCTGTTTTTCCACACAGAGATTTATTATCGTAATCGCGGTTAAGGCGAATAAAAAAAAAAAAAAAACTAATGAACTGAAAGCTCACTAACAAAAATGTAATTTTTCAACTAACACTGTTACCTGATTATTGAGATTAAATTTTTACTTATTGTGATCGACTTTTCTTTTTGTGTTGTAAACGCATTTTGTTAGTTCATTTTTCTAACCATATAGGTGTTTTGAATAGGTACCGATTCCTTTATTAGTCTTGCAAGTAAGCATTTAACTTACTGTTAAGGAAATCTTACGATTAAATTCAATTAAAGTATGAGAATTGAGCTGAACTTCATAAAATTTGTTGTTTTATGGGTTTAATATAATCAATCACTCAGGGTATGTGTCCTATACGCTTAATACGCTAATGATCGTAAGCAATGGGGTAAAGAGAGAAGAAGATATGGAGTGGCTATAGCATAGCGGATTCAGTAAGTGTTATGCTTTTACCGATCGAGCACTTACTGTAGCTATATATATAGCAAGCATGTTCGAATCAGAATGAAATTTGAGAGCCAGCGAACGCAGTCTTGGTAGTAGCGACTATTATTTGCTCGACTATGCGACAGTCTAACAAAGATTTGCTGTAAACCTACAGTTAAATTTATGTAACCTGCAGTTTAATATACACTGGAAACGATTCCAAATCGATTGCGTTAGTCACGTTATTCAAGAATATATATATGTCGTGGCTTCTTCGTTCCAAGCTTGCATGCATTTGATGCTCTCTGTGATAGATATAGCAAGAGAGAAGTTACATTTGGTTTGGAACGAAGTAATGTACGCTACAGTTTCTGAAAACATATACCAAAATTATGCAAATTATTTCATATATTTTTAATGATCGTGGGCGTGTTTATGGATCGACTTAATACACATTTGAAGACTAAACATGCTTCTTTATATGATTTATTTTCATATTAGAAGTGGTGTTTTAACGGTTATTCCAATCATCATCGAAGCAATGCGCCGGAAATCGTTCCCGACGTTCGGAATGTTTTCATTTTTAAATCGAATACGAGCGCAAAAGTACTATTGCCTTTTTCCTTTCGCTGTTGCTTAACAACCGTTATGCTTGACTATACGGATAGGACGCATTATCTAAGTGATTGGTCAAGGAAGCACTTTCTACTCTCTTCTCCGTCTCCCCAAAACGAAAGCAATCATATTTCACTAATTTTTGTTGCTTCTATTATGTAAAATACCTCTTTGCTATATCTACATATTCATTCGAATCTTTCTACGATTATGTTCGTACAATTGACTTGTGATATTTAGATTCACGTAGATTTCATTCAAAAAAGAATTCTCAGGAGGTTTTTTTACAAGTGAATTAGTTACAGACACATACACATTTATATTTTAACGTTTTAATTCTTCTTCTGGCCTCGTCCGCTCGAATATGTCTACGATCTCGAAGTTTTTCGACTTAATTGAGTCTGCTAAATAGATCCTTTACGAATACCGAACTTCCTTCTGATCTTTTCGCTTTAATATTTTAAATTTTTGCTTTATGGAGTGAGCACATCAAGCATCATAAATTCTTGAAAAGATTCATGACAAACTGAATAAGTGGCTAAGAAATGGCGGAAAAGAATGCTTTACAAAGTATTAATAAGCGATCTTATGTTACAATGAGAAGTAATTAGTGTTTTTTTCGCTAGTGATGAGCATATGAAAAGCTCAATTGGGAATCTCTGTTATATGCTTGTGGTAAATATTTGCGCTGTATTTCCGATCGCATAGTATTTGCTCTGAAATAAGAAGAAAGTGAAATCTTCCCGTATTTTACTGAAGTTGCTCTACTTTTTTTAGCGATTTTCAACCGAATTCTTTTATATTCTTGGACATGTGGAAAGCGCAAAAAGATGTGAGAGAGAAAATTGCTCCGTTCTACGGGGAAGTAAGAAATCTGAAATAAGAATCGGTTTCAGCTGAAATGATTTTAAATTGAATGCTTGGCTTAAAAATGGCTTTAATCGATTAATGTTACGCTCACGTACATGTAACGGACCTGGAATATATGCAGTTTAGGGTTCTTTTCTTTTTTCGTTTTTTTCTTTCATTTTTTCATACTAAGTTGAAGTGACCTTAATGTGTTATG